AGTATATCGGTACTGTAAACAGAAAATATCCAAGAAGATAAATATAACAAATACAAGGACAAAATGATACATAAAACGATATTCAAAAATGTCACGAATATCGACCACATGACATATAGTTGATACTTTCAAGAGCCATTTTTTTGCCTTTTAAAGTCAAGTCAAGCAAACCGGAGAAAAGTGTCATAACCTTTTTGATTTGACACACAGGGACATCTCCCACCCCACCCCCACAAAAAACAACAACAACAACAAATTCAAACTAAACCCAATTAACACTCAGGAACAGTCCGGTTGATTAAACCTTGATGAACAGTGCAATAGAACAATTAATAGTACTTTTTCTGAATATTATCTCTTGTGTTGCCTGTAGAGTCAATAAAGTGTTGTCTGTTCTGTTTTACCCTGGGATGACAAAACCAAGGAACATTTCAGTATTCCCTGTCTTCTAAATAATGTGCATGATGAGTACATTTTCTTGTGTAATACGACCACAATTAAGGCACATTTTGCCATAGTTTCCTTCTTAATTAACTGCACAAAAATACTGGAAAGAGTGTAATGCAGTATCTTAGGATGGATGGATGGACGGACGGACGTGCCAACATTTGGGGATTATAAGCTTTTTATGTTCATGTGGCACTTTGGATTTCCTTCATTTTTTTAATTAGATTTTGGCCCGAATGAAGTTCAATAACCATTGGAAGTTTGCCTAGACAGACAACGAACTTATAATTATTCTGACGAAGTATGTTTTCCAGCTCACATTTCCATATTTTGCAAAGATATTTTGTTACCAGAACTTAATCGAAAATGTTCGACCCTTTCGACCTGTCTTGTGACAAAAACCTCGAACACAATACACATTCACAAAACGGACTAAATGTCTAAAAATAGAAACAAAAAGTTGGTAAATGCTGGTTAAATTTGTTGAGAATTTATTTCGTTTGTCTGATAACTTTAAGTGGTCACCAAATCCTGAATGGTCAAGTTTGAATTGTGTCCATTCTTGTGTGCATTGTAGGTACAATTATGCCCCCTTCCTAGAGCCTTGAGTTTCTTTCGGAAGATACTTTTCTCTTTTTTTTTAAAGAAAAGACTACTAATATACACTCACACGAAAAGAGGTGTGAGTTTTTATGTTCATCAAAGCAAAGTATGACGCAAATTTGATAATTATCAGAATAAATGTGTTTTACATATAAATAACTTAAAACTGAAGTTGCCGATTTTAAATGATATGAGCCGTGTCATGACAAAACCAACATAGTGCGATTGCGACCAGCATGGATCCAGACCAGCCTGCGCATCTGCGCAGTCTGATCAGGATCCATGCTCTTCGCTTTCAAACCCTATTACAAGTAGAGAAACAAATAGCGAACAGCATAGATCCTGATCAGACTGCGCGGATGCGCAGGCTGGTCTGGATCCATGCTGGTCGCAAACCCATTATGTTGGTTTTGTCGTGACACGGCTCAAGTAACTAACTGCCTTTTTGCCTTCGAACATTTTAACACACATTTCACATGTAAGCGCCGTTTTTGATAATTGTTACATTATAATTCAATTTTAAGTGGTAAAACATCGCGCATACTGTTGCCCATTTTGATGTGTTAAATTTATATATATTTTGCCTTTAATGCTAAAGAAAATTTCTCTTTAAACAAGTACACCTTCTTTTCTTTGCATATAATTAAAATGATAAGTGTGTTTATAAGTTTAGTTAAGCCGCTGATCGGTAGCTAGAATTTACATCAATCACACTGTCTTGAGCAGGCCAAATCGAGGCTGCAACGTTTTCACTTTTGCTATGTTAGACGTTCTTTAAGGTTTTCATTTTCTCTTCCCTGTATATGACATTCACCCCTCTCATTTGTATCCCTATTTTCATGACATGCAGAAATATGAAGAAGAAAAAAACACACGCCATTCTATATTGCGAAATCATTTCGCTACTGTGAATGGTTTGATCAAGATTAAATAGATGCATGAATTTCAGAGCTTATATGTTATATGAGTGTCCATGAATTAATTAACAAAACTAGTGTTGTTTTTTTTTCAATTGCGTTTCAACATAAACCCTGATAATGAATAACTCAAATAAAACTTTGTGAAATATGTCATTACATTTACTATCAAATAGATATGATCATATTACCTCGTTTATTTTTGTCTAGAGAAAAGATTCTATGGCAAAATAGTGAAATATACCCACCGCAAATATCAATTTCGAAAAAATGATTTTGAATATTTCGTTATTAAACTGCTTACAACAGCCAAGCTACAGCTAGCTAAGATTAAAATGGAAATATGATTACATATTCTTGATAGTATAATTTTGACATGTAGTTCAAGTGTCTTATGGTTTATGCTGTATTTGTTTGAACTCATATTGTGTTACATTACAATTTTGTTAATAAATGAAGCTTGAAATGTTTTAATAAGGTTTGCCACCGGAATGTATTATAGTACAAAGTATATGATCATTTTTAGCTTCATAATTGGAGGAAATAAAAGAATCTACCTAGTAAAGCCATACTCGCACCAGTGACGTAAGAAACATTATTTTAACCAGTTTCAGATGGAACTATTTAATGGTGATTTTTTTCCATATAATTCTGCTTAAGCTGGTGCCAGAGGGCTTGGACTGTAGGATGTTGGACGGCCTTCACGATTTTCTACTTTTGGACAGTAATTTGATAGTCGTTTGACTGCATTGATAATGGTTGGCTTTCTGTTTGTCTATTTGAAACAATTACTCAGCTATATAACATTATAATTATTATCATAAAATCATGTGGTATATTGTAATTTATTGCCACTGCCGCAATCTCGATTGATGACAATACAAAAACATTCTAGCAGATTTATGTTACAGCATAATTTGTAGGGATGTAATCCGGAGCCGAATTCACTATTTCACTATAATTAACTTGACCGAAATATACTTTTATTGGTATAAATAAAAAGTGGTGTAAATACACACATATTATGTGAATGAAACCACCTTTAAACGATTCTTTATAATCATTTAATACTAGTATATACATATACTCGTACAATTTTATCAACACCTCGTGTAGGTTCTGCCAGCATAATCTCATTGCATTTTATAATCAAATACAAATGAATTCTGTTGTAAAATAATTTGTTAGTTTTTTTCACTGTCTCCTATCAATTTTCTACAATGTTATCTAGCTTTTTCCCATTTTCCTGTGTCCCGGCAGCTTTATATTCCGAAGCATAAGTCGCCCATTTCGGCATACCTCTTGCCTTTATCAACGCAAAACCGAGTATTGAAAGAGCAACAGCACGGAGTCCTTTATAAAAGAAGACAAATTATCTGAGTAAAACATATATATGGACATATTTAAAAAAAATAAGTTCAACATACGTATCAGTAGAACAAAGTAAAGGTATGTTATTTAAAGTGAGTTGGTCAATAATGAAAGATCTGTTGTACCATAGGTAATTATGATGATAGTACTTAGTATCATATCTGACGACAAACCATGGAAGAATTATATGAGCCGTGTCATGACAAAACCAACATAATGGGTTTGCGACCAGCATGGATCCAGACCAGCCTGCGCATCCGCGCAGTCTGATCAGGATCCATGCTGTTCGCTATCGGTTTCTATACTGGTTATAGAGTTTGTAAGCGAACAGCATGGATCCTGATCAGACTGCGCGGATGCGCAGGCTGGTCTGGATCCATGCTGGTCGCAAACCCATTATGTTGGTTTTGTCATGACACGGCTCATATATGGATGTTGTTGGTTCGTGTGAGATACATGATCCGATTAGACATACCTATATACATGTATAACAGACATTAATTGTTTTGAGCAAAATATCATTTTTCATCAAATACATTTTTATACTAAATCATTTGGAACTCTTATCAACCTGGTTTTCTTTTAGAAATAATTTTATAAGAATATCCAAATGATATATTTTTATTGTTTTTATCAATATTTGGAAAAAAAAAACTTATGAAGAATGCAGACCAAACCACTGTAAAATCGGATTTTAACACAAGATAACATTTTCCACCAATGTATATAGTATATTATTTTTTAATTAATGCACTGTCTTAAACGGAACAAAATTAAAATGAAATTGGTCTCTTTCATACTGGTATTAAACTTATTACAAATATTATATTTCGTGTAAAAGATAAAATAATCCTCTTATATCAATACCTATCATAAGTCCATGCATCCTAAATCGCTGGGCCTCAATGTTATAATGAGCACAATACTTAGAAGATGTTCTTGCAGTATTCCAGATCAAGCACGAACTGTCAATTATTTTCCCACCAATAACCGGACCAGGTAACCAGGCTGCAGTGATATAAAACATATGTGAATCACAAAAAAATCTTGACACTCAATTAAAAAAAATTCTTGAATGTTCCACGATGACTTTCATAATTATGAAAAATGTAACTAAATTCTAAATCCAACAATTTTCGTAATTACATGTTAACTTTTGCTTTAGACGGTGCTAGTGGGCGTTCACGTCTGTTTGGATATACCATAACCAACCAATCATGAACAGGCTGGCCCTTTCAAACTGAGCAGGCAACATGTTCAAAATTGCTGTGTTTGGCTTTCTCTGAATGTTCAATTTTATACATTTCTAATTTGTAAAACTTGACACACATGTAATGATATAATTAATTGAGAACCAATTAAAACAATTTTTAAACAATTTGAAACAATAAATTGCAACTTATATACCTTTTCGTTTCGAGTGGAACGGCTGAGAGCAAGTTTCATATCTTAATTATATATTTAATGAACGGACGACACTAATACATTAATATTGTCCAATTACATGATTCTTACATTATTTGTTTGATTATCTTTGTTGATAAATATGTTTAAATCCTCATTTTAATAAAGTAGAAACGTTTATAACAAAGATTAACGGTACAAATGTATCTGAGATCTTTAATGACAATTGTAAACAATAAAACACTGAAAACAAACCAGTTAGTGATGTCACTGCAGCAGAAAGACCAATTGCTAATGCTTTATGTTCTTCACCAGCTGATCTACAAAAAGAATAATTCATCAATGATAAATGTAAATTGTTACAAATAATTTGTTGATGTCATGGATCAAATCTGTAACATAATTTTTGACAAGTTTAAGTTTACGATAATAACATGGCTATAATGGAATATAACTAGCTCTTAGAAGAATATTTTCTCTAATCAGTAAGCATCTTGTAACGTAATGTATAGCTTTTAAGGATACTACTCGGTGAGATAACGAATTATATATGTCATTAAAGTTTAGTGAGATGCTTTATCAAAGTTATTTTCATTTAATTTCCTTTTTTTACTTTTTGTTTTACATTACACCTAAGTATAGACATAGCGTATCACTGATTGTCTGGAGTTTTGATAGACGTTATTATGCCCTCAAATAGTATATTTGTTGGTGGTTCAGCTGAGGTGTCTGCTTAAGCGGAAGTAACTGAGGGCTGTATGAAATCTTTCTCTATAAGAACAGTTATTAAGTCGACACATAACAGTGCTAATTTTACTATAATCAAACTATAACAAATTAAGAGAGGAAAACAATTTATAAGAAATATCAATGTTGTGTTTGTTTTTCACAAACATGAAAACTGACTTATTCATGAAGATACTGTAATGAGCCGCGTCATGACAAAACCAACATAATGGGTTTGCGACCAGCATGGATCCAGACCAGCCTGCGCATCCGCGCAGTCTGATCAGGATCCATGCTGTTCGCTATCAATTTCTCTACTTGTTATAGGGTTTGTAAGCAAACAGCATGGATCCTGATCAGACTGCGCGGATGCGCAGGCTGGTCTGGATCCATGCTGGTCGCAAACGCACTATATTGGTTTTGTCATGACGCGGCTCAATCATTTACCTTAGAAACACCAAAAATACTGGAATGGACGCCGTGGCTTCAACAAGATTCATAATAAACTTTGCTACAGAGTATGGCCCCACCATTTGGCAGCTAGAATGACACTGTCCCATTGTTGCCGTACCACCAGGAATCGCTGAACAATTGGCGAGCATCTTGAAATGTAGAAAATGTAAGTTAAAAGGTGTTTTATTGTCCATAACTTTTGAAAAAAGAGGAAAATCCACGAGTCAAAGTTTCTTATATAGAAATATTTACATTGCGTGTTTATCACTCATTTAACAGTTTGACTAACACTGGGGTAAGATAAGTTGAAAAAAAAATGTTTTGGATGACTGTCCTAACTTTTTTATGATTGCCTTGCATCGCACCAACCCAATCCGCTTGACCTCTAACCATTTTTATGTTCTAATTGAACTATTTTGTAGTCATTTTTGTAGAATGATTTGTAAATCAGTTCGCATCCATGCACGCTCAATCTTCTCGTTTTGCCCTGTTCCTATTCGGTATCCTTTTGGATACCTTTTCAGTGATCAAACTGTGTGGCTAGAATATATCGTGAACTGCGTTTCGAAACCGTTGCTCCCGCTTGTAGATCTTTACTCCCATATGTTACATTGATAAAATATTTGGAAGTTCAAGAGAAACGAGTTACTCCAGAAGGTGAATTTTCAGACTTTAGAAATAAAGCATAGACATTTAGCAACGAGAGAAAAAAAACATACAAATTTTACTCATTTGTTACGCTTCTAAGAGAATACTTTTACCTCTTTATTTAAGAATGTGCAGCCTGCATGACAAGGTGAGAAATATGTATTTCCGTCGTTTCCACAAATTGGCAGGAACTCACTTCCACTACATTCACAACCAATATCGGAAGAACTATTGCTGAAAATACACAAACATTGACATTTGAAGATTTATATTTTTGGAATAAGGATATAAAATACCGTACAGGGAGTAAGATAGCAGTAATATGATAACGAAATTACTGAGGCACAGAACCACTGTTCAAAGACATAACTGCTGCTAGCAAATGTTGATATTTGACGGGAATTTTCAGAAAAATATTCAATTTTCGGATGAAGACAACGTTTGTTCATATCTATAGTTCAGAGATAATGTGTAAATATATGATCTAGGTTTGGTGCTTCAAAGTAGATATATGGAAATCTTAAGAACGTCAAATACGACATATTGGAAATATTTCAAGCTCAGGTTTGTTGAGTTTGATTATTGACAACAATGATAATACAATCTATTGTCCACCGCACCCCAGCACCGGCTTATACAGAATTCAACAAGATCATGGCGTTTAATACGCTGATGTTTACATACAGATGTGATCAAAGAACATTCAATGTTACACTTTCGTGCAATTACATGAAAAGCAGTGTATCTAAGTCCAGCCTCCATTATACATACGTATGATCTGTTGGCGCCATATGGATAGGCTGTCGGCTGCAACCGAGGAAAGCAGCTATAATCAATACTATGGTAACAACTAATAGTAGCAAGATTATCAAGAGTATAGTTCTAAATGGCGAGAGGTTCCATTTCTTTGTGATGTATCCACCAATAAGGCACCCAATACTGTAAGAAGTAATACTGATTACTCCTGAAATACAAAAAAATCAAAAAGAAATTATTTTGTTGAAGTATAATTATTTCTATTGATAGATTGTAAATATGACATCATTTGTAAGTGTGTAAAGGATATGTTAAGACGCCCAGTACTGTGTGAATAAAATTTGCCTTTTTCGTACAAAGAGTTTTTAAACATTATTATATCCTATGATTCTTTACGGTCGCCAAAGATACCAAACAATGTTAAATTTTCCATTTTTCTCATAACAAACTTTTTACGCAAATATGCAGATACTTTTTATGAAATCTTTCTAACGGAAAGACAAACCATCTTCGTTACAATTGATATTTTGTGTATGTTTTATTTCTATCAATATATTTGTCAAGGAGAAACATTACCCGTTTTGTTGTCTGGAATATCATTGAAAATTATCAAAGTAATAGAAACAATATTCATACGTTTAATATTGAAGTTGTTGAAGAAAGATAACCCTTTATCATACACCCGTGCTAATTTTGCGACTCCGTAAAAAATGATATTGCACGGCCGTGCATATATTTTGACGTGACGCCAGAGGCTCGCATAATATAATTTTATTCAACTAGTGCAATAAATTCAGTATTGAACTTGCACTCATTCAATATCCTCTGTGTATCATTATCTGATTAGTTTTATTACTCACCAAGAATGATGTTCACCTGCCAAGATGGTATTGCAAACTGCGTCTCTATATATTTTGGTTCAAATCCAAGGAATGTTGAAAATGACAAGACTTGGAAGCACACAGCTATTAAAGTTAGTGTGTATACTGATGATTTTAGAATGGAGAAAATTGTTGTAATAATATCTGAAATAGACAAGAACACAAATTAAAATTTACACAACAATCAGTCTACACATTTTATTAATACAATTTTATGAAAAGAAAATATCTGGAATACTGGAACTTCAAAGAAAAACCTAAAAATAAACATGTGTAGCAAAGCATGTCCACAATTTTGTATAGTCAAATTCTTTGAATAAGCTATTGACCTTCATAAATTTAATGATTTATTGTTTGATAGTTTACTGGATGCACATGCTGAAAACCAATTGCTATTACATGTCTTTTATAAGGAAACAAATCATTTTAAAGAATGTTCTCTGAAAACTTACGTTGAACCTGCTGGACTATAGACTTGCTGTGATGGTGTGATTGTTGATTCGACTGTTCTTGCTGGAAAGAAGGTAATCGCCTCGGGAAGAAGAACATTGGAATGGCTATCAAAATTGTTGCCAGACCAATTATAATGAAACCCAACCACCAAGCACCAATAAACCGGGTATCCGTTGAAGATAAAGTGGTACCTTAATTACAAGAAAGCAATTTCTGGATTCAAAATGAACTTTAAAACAATTTGTTGTTGTTCTTTTTTTTTTTGGGGGGGGGGGGGGAATTCTTTTTTCTTTCTTTTTTTTAAAATTTATTCAATATTTTCGACGATTTCTGTCCTGTTAAACATTGAGGTGCTATGTTGCCAGTAAACTGAATGTTTTGTTATTAAGATAAGTTTTTTTATTTGTGAGGTTTTTCAATGACTTGTTGATTATTATTATTATTATTTGTTTTTTTGTTGTTTTTTTTTGTTTTTTTTTATGTAATTTCAGTTGTAGTGGCAGATATAGTCCTTGGGCTTTCAGTGTTTTGTTAAGACTTTCACTAAATGGTCGCTTAAACTTTTATAAATTAATATATAAACTTACCTTTTAAGGTAACATAAACACTGCTTATCAGACTCCCAATACCATAGCCAACCGCTAAACCAAACACGGCTATACTTGAAATAGTACCTGAAATAAATTCATTGTATGAGTTTGTTAAGAAATATGTTAATTAATTAGAACTGTGACACAGGAGTATTTACTTATCTTTATGAATTGTATGAAACATCATATGTCAACCTGTATCTATTTCGAGATTGTAGGAAATTGTATAGTGAAACGAGCGAGAGGTCAGTGTCATTTAATGTTTCCTTTAACAACATTTTATGTTTTTTTCTGTGGACGCTGATCAACAATTTCATATTTGAACGGATTGAAATATACGCTCCATACTTTTATATAATGGTAGGTTTATTTTGTGAAAAGGAGAAAAAACGAAAAATGTTTCCAAACAATTCAGTACAATGGTACTTTACAATGACTTGAATCACTTACCTATATAGAATCCGGTTTTCTTTTTGTCGACATTATCATCAACATACTGAGCAGAATATGGATAGCAAGGTGCTTTTGCAGCACCTTGAATAATCATTCCTAAATTAAACAAAACATACGCTATTGTTTTTCCAGAACTTTTCACAGTGTGCCCGGGAGATAAAGCAGAATCGTGTTGATTCGACAAACTGTCCGAAGATTCCGAATAATGGTTACATAATACTACATCTGAGTCGTCAGTTGTTGAAGTTGAATTAAAACTTCCATTTTCAGTTACCTTCGATTCAGAAAATGCAACAAAATGTGGAAGAGCAAAAATAAATCCAGATAGTCCACAAACAATAGTAACTGCACCAATTACACGTGGAAGATGTGCTCTTTGTCCGAAATAACTCGCAAATACTGTACAAATCATGTATCCCAGCTCCCATACTGTAAGCATCCAACCGGTCTCGGAACTTGACAGTCCGAAAGCCTTTTCTATATTTGATATTTGTGATACCGTAACTGTATAAAATGACCATGATATAAGACTTAGAATACCAAAAAACACTACGAATGAATTTATTCCGGTGAACATGGTTGACAGTAATACATGACCAGGTACAAGATTTTGAAATATGTAATTTAATTTATAAAACGAAACGTTTATTTAAAACCTTGGTACTTTTTCCGTGCACACAATTAATTTATCTGTCAACTTTATAAAATACACTTGATGTAGGTATAAAACTATATATTGTTTTGCATGATCATACGTGACATGAATTTCAAGTTGTTTTTTTAATTCGTATTTCATAATCATAAACACATAATGGTTAGTATTGCTTCTTCCATTACGATTGTTAGACTGGATGCATTAAGAAATTTAATTAACCTAGTACTAGTAAGGAGGAACATCTGAGGTCAATGGCCTAATTACTATGGTCCATGTCACCGAGATTTCCAAAATGAATATAAGAACCTCTGAAGTAGAAAATGATAATTGATCTCTTCTTTTTATGAGTGGTGCATGAGGTTGACCTCATTTCAAATCTGTCTTCATTGATGGAATGAATTTGGTCTCCAAATGTCATAAATAGGAACATATATCAAAACATGTGTACTAGTATGTGAATAAATAATATACATGTATGTGAATACCTGGCGTATAAAAGTAATAAGTCTATAAGAACAACTTAAAAGACCAAACGTTAAAAATTTATTTCAAATTTTAACAGTGAATTCAATTCAAAATTGTATTTAAATCAGTATAATTTTCATTCTTGAGTAAAAATATTGTATTAAAGGAACTCCACTGAGGGTTTTTGACATGACGGGACAGGAAATAATTTTTGAGAGTAATGTTCCATTTGATTAAGTGTAAACTTGTATGCAAAATTTCAGATTATTTGCTAACTTCATTTTTCCTGAATATTATGCTAATTGCGAAAATTGACCCAACATTGAAAAGCGTTGTAGGAGCACATTTGTCTCGGAGCACATTTGTCTCACGAAGTGTGACCGATGTGTTCGTAAACATTCATATTTGCGACAAATTGGAAATGAGACAGATGTGTCCGACACACAATAGAAAGGACACTCGAAGCACATTTGTCTCACATTTTTCCATAAAATTCTTAAAAGTTAATAATTATGTCCACCTGTATACCGGCTACCAGCCATTGTTCTGCGTTTTCTGTATTTATAATACCGTTTTTATGTCACTTCCGGTCAGTCAGAAATTTCCTGCCTCTGCATAGGAGTCATATATTAAATTAAAAAATATCCATGTTCTGCATGTCACAATGAAAATTTCTGTGCAGCATCCAGAACCTAAACACATATGCAGCAAGTCTACTCTTATCGTCATTAATTGTGATACGTTTATTTTCAATGCTTAAAGTTTTATAAATGATTTATGGCACTAGACATATGCTTAGCAAAAACACGGTAGTATCTACGATGGCATAAAGGGGACATAAAATTTTCTTATTTTTTACGTGCGCACACTATAGCTTTTACGTGGCCACGTGATACTATTACGTGCGCACGCGATAGCTATTACATGCGCACGCGGATATGTATTCCGCATTTGGACCCTAACCGGGATCCTCGAATGAATAGTTCAACGCCCCGTGTATGTGTCGAACCTACAGCGGTTAGGGGCTAGTAATTTTTTGGAATCACTCGGCCACAGAGGACCTTAAATGATCTATGGAAGAAAATAAGAAGACCATTACACACGTATTTTGTTTTCATCAGAAATATATGTATAAAAATATCGCCATTTTCCAAGAATTGCGGCTTTCAGATCCGCCATTTAAAAAACACTTACAACATGCATGAGTTCCTAAAATAATCTGGGTAATGCCATAATTATGGAATATCGGGCCACTCAAAATCAGGCGAGACGCGACTTTCCGATGAGACACGAAGCGAGGCACGATATTGTAACACGAGATCTCGCAATGTCGAATTATCCCGTACCACGAGATTTCAGAAATGAATAAATTTTTATTTCTTTAGATAGGGCAAGTATGAATTTATTAATATTCAAAAAAAAAAATTCGGAGGTAGTTAGATGCATGTAACCAAAAGAAATTCGCGATCAATGTGAAATAATGCGTCATAAACTGCAAAATAGCAGCAGATGAAAAAATGCCTCAGGTAATTAGCCAATGAGTAATTTTTTGGAGCTAATAAAGTATACCAAAAATAAGAAAGCTCTTGAGGAATGCAAATAAAAGCATTCCTCAGGCATAATGGACCTTTAAGTGATTTTATGTAGGCTATAAAGGGAATACTACTTAGCGGTATATGATCTAGTCAATTTCTTGTCTCGCGTCGACGAACGAGATGCGAAGCGGACGCGAGATTTCGGCGAGATGCGAAACCAGTTACGATTTTGTATCATTCAATATCAACCGATTGCGGTGTTCTGTATGGACATAAGTAACATTTTTGTCTACCTGAACAACTATGCACAATGGTACAATGGTGAAATTGAGATGGTACGATGATTAAAACACGATGGCACATTGGTGAAATCGCGATGATTCGATGACACGATAGAGAAAATAATATCGCGTTTTCATCATCATGCCATCGCAGTTTTATCAGATCGTATCATCATATTTTCACCATCGTAACATCGTCTTTCACCATAGTACCATCACGTTTTCATCATCGAGCCTTCGTTGTTTCACAATCGTACAATCGTTGTTTCACCATCGTACCATTGTGTTTTCACCATCGCACCATCGCGTTTTCATCAACGTACCATCGTGCCATCGTACCATCGTAAACGGGATTTAGTATGTTTCAGTGTACGCCTTCAGGTTAAGCCAATCAATTTCTTGAATTAGAGATATTATAATTAATAGTTCACTTTAGGTTTTCATAAAAAAGCATAAGCAAACCTATTGATGATTACACTTGACATGAGGTAAAACGGCCAACCTCGATTCTAAAAAAGAATTTCTGTCGTGGGGAAATATGTGACAAATAATTCATAAAAATGACATGAGACAAATGTGCTTTCTTGTCCCTTAAAAAACTTGATCGGAGCACATTTGTCACACAAATGAGTTTTTTGGGGTAGACATTTGAGGTCCCATTTGTCTCATGTGGGACAAATACGACCGCATCGGTCTTACGTAAGACAAAAGTGCTCCGAGACAAATGTGCTCCTACAAAGCGTTCTATGCTTTTCATTCATATCGGGCTAAGAATTGGACAAAATTGTGATTTTCGCTTTATTTCTTACTGAATTTTTGCATAGATTTTTTGTTTGTTTTTGGTGCCAAAGCGCTATGTAAAAATCAAATATTGTATTTTCAGGCTTATTAAGCTCAGTGGAATTCCTAATAATTAATTTAAATATATCCTTATATTAATTACATATATTGAAGCATATAATAACATTTAATCTTTAGTGTCTCTATCTACTGTATTATCTGTTGTCTTCCGATTTTCATCCGTATCGACAGCAGCATAGTTCTGGGCATCGTCTGTTGCCCATTTGGACACGTCTTTGGCCTTTATCAGTACAATACCAAAGATTGCTACCGAAATAACACGGAGACCTTTCAAAATAAAACATATTACCTGGTAAGTAGAGGTATAATGAGTTATAATTACATTGACATGTCATTAATCAAACTCATTCTTGTAAACAGTATGAGTTCAAATAAGAAGGTACAAAATTGATAGGCATAATGAAAATCATCTGAAATAATTTCATTGTTAAAACATTACAATTCCTAAAGAACATTAGGACAATCATGTTCAATCAATAGTGTGAGTGAGCACGTGACCTATGTTTACGGTAACAATTTGGTCACCGCTAATGGCCGCGTTCATGACGTAAGAAGGCATTTGCTAATTTTTCGTAATTTTTTTTTTTTTTGGTAATAAACATATACCATGTTTCCGGTAAATATTTGCCAATTCCATTGGTACATATTTTTACTTTGAGGCTCTTGTACTCATACTTTCCCCATCATGCTCGGAGAAGTGAAACATTGTTACTACATATTTTCATCAAAATCTTGCCACAAAGAAAACATTCTGCAAGCAAAAATATAATAAAATATAATAAATTGAAATACAGTGTATGTAACGAAAGGTTAGCAAAAACATTTCAATTCACTGGGCAATTAACGGCGACCCAATGTTACCGTAACCATAGTTACGTGATAACTCTCACTGTGTTATGACAATACCTATCATGAATCCATGTATTCTAAACCGTAGGGCCTCAATGTTGTAGTGAGCACAATATTTAGAAGATGTCGAGGCGGTATTCCAAATGAGACACGTGCTATCAATAATTCTTCCGCCAATTACAGGGCCTGGTAACCAAGCTGCAGAAGTAAAAAAAATCATATGAAAGTGTGAGCAAAGATGCTGGTAATGCAGGAGGAATAAAAACATACTTATACATTACCAAATAATTTTGTTCACGAATGTTTCGGATGGCAAGGAGCATAGAGGGCATTTTTATAATGAAGAGATCTATATATATAACTTTTAATAATTTTGAGTATGTAGTTTTTGAAGTTTGATTTCACTGAGACAAATTAAAAACTTCAACTTTCAAAAGTAACAAGTTGAAGGGTCTTAGGATAGCAATAACAAAGGATAAAAAAAATACCCACCGAGCAATGATGTTGCTCCAGCTGAAAGACCAATTGCTAACGCTTTATGTTCTGCTCCAGCTGATCTACAGAAAGAGATACATAGAACATCTATACTTAAACTTTTGATATTGCTATTACGAAGAATTAAGGATAAAGCCTTTATTAGGAGGTATATTGTAAATTCCTATTCTTGAAATGTTTGATTCGCATCCCTATAAAACAATAGTAAAAGTTCAGGTCAGACTGTACCATTAGTAAAAGTTGCAACATTAGTAAAACCTGCACCATACGTAAAAGTTAAGGTCACACTCCGTTCAGGTCAGATCGTACCAAATTTTAACATTAGTTCATATGGAAAAAAAAGAGTTTGAGACCCATCTTAGATATAAACATGTACCAAAACACCATACTAGTAATTTACTATCATTGCATGATGGATCTTAATATATAAAGCAAATAAATTTGGTTTTATGATGTAATTCTTAACAAATGATAGGGTTTTGATAAATAGTTATTCGGAAAATATTGAATTGTTATGTCTACGACTGTCGTGAAATAGTGACTATAGGTAATACTTTCTTCAATATAAACGAACTGTTGTTGTTATTCAACATTTCACAGTACAGATATGAGCCGCGTCATGACAAAACCAACATAGTGGGTTTGCGACCAGCATGGATCCAGACCAGCCTGCGCATCCGCGCAGTCTGATCAGGATCCATGCTGTTCGCTTACCAACTCTATTACAAGTGGAGAAACTGACAGCGAACAGCATGGATCCTGATCAGACTGCGCGGATGCGCAGGCTGGTCTGGATCCATGCTGGTCGCAAACCCACTATGTTGGTTTTGTCGTGACACGGCTAATTATTATCATTTACCTCAGGAAAACCAAGAATATCGGAATAGAGGACATGGCATCGAAAATGTTTAAGATAAACTTTGCTGTAGAGTACGGCCAGACCATACGGCAACGAGATGGACAACGTCCCATTGTTGCAACACCACCAGGAATTGCTGAACAGTTGGTGAGTACCTTAAAATGTAAAAATAATAAGTGTGAAATATTCTTTAAACTATCGTTTTCTTTTGTTGTTGTTATTGTTGTTGTTGTTTTATCCATCACAATATTATTTATTTTATTAGCGTTAACTATTATTTTAGGAATACTTACGTCTTTGTTTAAAAATCTGCATCCAGCGTGACACGGGGAGAAATATATATTTCCATCATTCCCACAAATCGGCAAAAACTCACTACCATTGCAATTACAACCAATGTCAACAGAACTATGACTGAAGCAGATAACTGATATGAATTTAAATGTATCTTTTTATCAACTTAAAATTATGGAAATGATAGTACAAATGGATTAATTTTGAAACAAAAGTACGTATATTGTTCATTTCAAACCAAATTAGATTTCCTTTGTGAACATACATTTTCGTTTCGTACTTTTTTATAAATTAATCAAGGTAAGTATAAATATTTTAGAACGCAAACAGACCTATTTGATTTTTTTGTTAAAGTGTCTTCATTCAGTTGTTTTCATATTTTCAAACTTTGACAGGGTTGCGTTACTATTAATTGTAATATAAAGAACCGAAAAGTGATTTCCTTCAAAACCAAAAATATAAAAAAATTAATACATTCCAGATAGGAATCAGAAAAAAGAGAAATTTCATTAAATCGACGACTTAAGTTTTCGTCAAAGCTGCATTTAAGACTTCCAAAGTCTGCTACAATTATACATACGTATGATCTATTGGTTCCATATGAATAGTCTGCGGCTTGCAGCCGAGAAAAGCAGCTATTGTCATTACTATGGTTACGATAACAAGGAGGAAAATTATCAAGAGAATAGTTCTATATGGCGACAATTTCCATTTCTTTGTAATGCATCCTCCAACAAAGCACCCGATACTGTAAGAAGAAATACCAATCCCTCCTGCAATATACAAGAGATAATCTTATTTAGGGATATTCATTATCTAAGGGCAATGTAATCATTAAATTACTTTTGGTAGAGTAAAACGGACAAAAAGTACGTTTTTCTGTCCAATAAAGAATGCATAAAGCGGTCAGATACAATTCTTAGAATATAGTAAAAATGAATCTTGAAAAATGACCATCACAATTCCTATCTCGAGCAACATTTTAAAATGAAAAAGACATATTCTGTTTAAAAACAGAATATGGCCCCAAATAAAAAGAAACTACATGTGCCCTAAACGAGAAAACAATGAGCAAATCTAAATTAAATGGAATTTTGAAAGAGAAGCACAAAATTCTGGAAACAAAGTGATCCCTATAGTGCTGGCATCAATGATCCCGAAGGACCAGAAAATATAACAACACTGAAGTGAAGTACGGGGCAACTTTTTACAGCTGCCACACGGCACTTGACAACCGCTGTTGTGAAGTATAAAATTCTGGAAACAAAGTGATCCATCGGAAGCATCAATCACAACAAAATTACAAGAGAATTGCAGACTCGGTTTGATTGAGTCTGTATATGAGGGATAATGAATAAGTGCAACATCCCTCACGCCCCCTAGCACCGGCTTGAGCGGTACTCAATTTTCAACACTTAATAGTGCTGGCATCAAGTCATGAAGCCTGCATGTCTTAAGACAAGCTGTCAAAAGACTAATTTTATACGCAAGGGTGATTATATAGTATTCAACTAGGGGTACTAGAACCACCCAATAAGAATGAAGCCAAATAGAAGTAACTAAAAGTACCACAAACACAACAATGCTAGCACTTTGTCTTGCTGAACGATGTTCAATTTTTGGAAATAGTTCATCTCTGATAAAATGTACAGGGTGATGTTTAAGACAACGCTGACATGACTATAAAATTGGAGGGCAAAAATGAATCCCCTAAAGCTGTCTAAACCGATAAAATCGAAACACTGTCAACATTAAAAGAGCTGTACATACATGTTTTTTGTTGTTTTTTTTTTAAAACAAAGTTAACCACTCACCAAGAAGGACATTGACCTGCCAAAGAGGCATTTCAAATTGTGTAAACATGTACTTTGGCTCAAACCCTTCGAATGACGCAAATGATAAGATTTGAAAACATGCAGCTGCTAGTGTTAACGCATACAAGGGTGATTTCAAAATAGATATGATTGTTGCAACAACATCTGAAATTAAAAAAAATACTTTAGTTACGTTTTAGTCGTAAACTGTATATATTGAGGCACAGGCTTTGAAATAAACTGATAAATATACATACAAATTAGCAGCGAAAGAAATACACATTTTAGCATTTTGTAAACAGTATTATCTAAACAAAATGAATGATTCTAATAGAAGTAGTGTTTAGAGTGAAACATTTTGTTGTCTATATCACTTTTGTTTGTAAAAGAAACTTGCGTTTAATCTGCTGAACGAATGATATGTTATCACGATGGGTTTGTTGTTGCAACTGATTTTGCCGGGAAGTAATTAATCTTCTCGGAAAGCAGAACATTGGAATAGCTGTTAAACTGAGAGCAACACCAACAGATATGAATCCCAACCACCAAGCTCCAATAAACCGTGTGTCCGTGGAGGATAATGTGGTACCTAAATGACAAAAATGAAAAGTGTTGCTAATGCATGTAGCAATCTATTATTCACATATTTTTTTTATTGATTATAAAAATAGTGATCTGATAAATTTTAAGTCATACATGGATCTTTGTATACACAAATTGTAATATATTTGAGCCGCGTCACGACAAAACCAACATAATGGGTTTGCGACCAGCATGGATCAAGACCAGCCTACGCATCCGCGCAGTCTGATCAGGATCCATGCTGTTCGCTATCAGTTTCTTTACTTGTTATAGGGTCTGTAAGCGACTGATCAGACTGCGCGGATGTGCAAGCTGGTCTGGATCCATGCTGGTCGCAAACCCATTATGTTGTTTTTGTCGTGACGCGGTTCATTTGTATTTTCTTAAAATCTATGATTATACAAGAGTCAGTGGCTTTATTATTTTCTTTCTTGACTTGTCATTACAATTTCTATAAAATACCTACTCATAAACGATTTTATTCTTATAATACATTTGTATTTATCTACAATCAGTAGGTAACTATCACATATTTCTTAGATTAATATATTTATACATGTATATTTTTAATTTCGATTAATATCATGCCTAGCGATTATCAAAATTCTTCATTTATTATGATAGATACTTTTCAAAGTGACGTATACACTGCTTATGAGACTTCCAATTCCAAATCCAAGGGCTAGGCCAAACACCGTTATACTCGATACAATACCTGCAAGATATGTCATTTATTATATACTTTTAAATGAAATATTGAGCAATATTGATGAAATAAAATGCGTATTTTCATTTTCTGTATTTTCACTGTAAAAATTTATTTTTCACTGCAGTGAAACATATTTTCCGTATTTTCACTGGTGTCATGCCGGACTACTTTCTTTTAAACTCTGCCAGTACTCAAAATTTAAGGGAAAGTCTTTCAAATTTTAATGTCCAGAAAGAGAAAAATGTATATAATAAACAGAAAATTCAAGTTTTTTCTATAAATACATGATTTATTTTCATCTTGTGGCATGAAAATTACCATATTTCACTCGTGGCTACCGCCACTCATGAAATATTTATTTTCATACCACTCCATGAAAATAAATCATGTATTTATAGAAAAAACTTGAATATCCTCTATGGATTATTACCAGCATTTTATACTTTTTCTCCATACAGACATGGAATAAAGGTCTGGGACATGTGAAGTATGTGACACCATTCCAGAGATATATATTTTAATGAGTTTTGTCACAATCTGTTCAGAGTCAATTCTAGGAAATTGTGTGAAATATTCTGCTAAAACTGTTTTATTATTATATTTTCATACTGTTTTTAATTCATATACAAAGAAGTTACAGAAATAGAGCAGAAGATATTCTTTTAACACAAATATTTTACACATGTACTTCGTAACTAACTGATATTATACGTATTTGCATTTTGTGTTGGTTTTTAAAGTATATCATTGTATTTTATTGTGATGAAACATATTATTTCAGAGTGTATACTTATCATTGTAAGATGACTTACAGGCTTATTTACAACATTTACATTTTCTTAAAATTATGCCTCCATCTTCATACATAAAATGCTTTATGTTAGATTTTACACTGCCATAGACCTAATAAGTATATGAATAGTCCTTAATGAACATTTTTATTGCGTTTCATTCATTTCATAATCTAATTTGATATATGAAAATACTTAACTGCAAGAAACAGATATTTGTTTTTAACTTCCCATTTATTTGTTTATAATTTCTATGGAATCTAGTGGGTTTTTTTCAATACGCATTATATTTACATTACGGATGAGAATATGGAGAAAAATGAAATTAGATTCTTGTTTATTGTGATGTACCTATATAGAATCCGGTTTTCTGTTTATCAACATTATCGTCAATGTACTGAGCAGAATATGGATAAGTTGGTGCTTTTCCGACCCCTTGTACGATCATTCCAATATTTAACAGAACGTAAGCTATTGTTTTTCCTGAACCTTTCACTAAATGTCCTAGAGTAGCAGAATCTGCTTGTTTGGATGAACTATAACCATAAGATGTTGGTTTGTTGAATGTACATAAAGTAACATCATACCCATCTTTTGATGATGATGTATTAATATTTTCATTTTCTATAAAAATCGATTCCGAAAATGCAACAAAATGTGGCATAGCTATGATAAATCCAGACAGTCCGCAAAAAATCATAGATACACCAATAACACGTGTAAGATGCGCCCTGTGTCCGAAATAACTCGCAAATACAGTACAAATCATGTATCCCAGTTCCCATACGGTAAGTAACCACCCGGACTCGGAACTGGACAATCCGAAAGCTTTTTCTATATTTGATATCTGCGAAACCGTTACTGTATACGATGACCATGATACAAGATTCAGAGTACTAAAAATCACAATGAATGAATTTATTCCGGTGAACATTGTTGACAAACTATTTGACAAAGAATAACTAAATAATAAAACAAAACGAGGTTCTTTTCCCCCATACAAAAATAATGAATATATGACTTTGGATAAAAAAAGAATAATGCAAAACCCAGAAGAACGAGTAAATGCAAATTCATTAATTGATTTGCATGATGTTACGTGATATGAATTTTATTTTATTTAAATTTGACATAATTCATAATCATATTCACAGTATGGAAAGTAATACTTCCATCATTAAGATTGTGTGATAACTTTATAAATTACCAGGAGCGTGTTAAAAAGAATGGTTTACGTCACAAGGGTCGCTGAGATTTAATGAATAAATAGTACATTAACCATAATGAAAATAAGAAAACAAGAGGGCCATCATGGCCCTGAGTCGATCACCAGAAACGACTGCTTTTCAGTGTTGGAAATTATCCATTGTCAATATTTTCTAATATTAAATTTGAGCATAGAATATGTTTAAACAATTATTTGAAGAAATACCATAACCTGAGGCATTTAAAGCTTTAGCTTATAAGGGAACAATCAAATTATTATGAGCAAACTTGATAAAAGACTACCCGTGATCATCCACTAGTTAGTTCTGTAGAAAAAGGTGTTTCTTTTTTAAGCCCTAGCGACCCTAAAAAGGGGCCAATCAAATTTATATGAGCAAACTTGATAACAGATAACCTAAGAATGCTACAGACAAAGTTTGGTGATCATCCATCAATTACTTCTGTAGAAATAGACGTTTAAAGGTATTTCTATTTTTAGCTTTTGCGGCCCCTAAAAGGGGCCAATCAAATTAATATTACAAAACGTGATAATAGACTACATAAAAATGCTACAGACAAAGTTTGGTAATCATCTATAGAGAAAGATGTTTAAAGTTGTTTTGTTTTTCTTTTTTTAGCCCTAGAGACCCCTAAAAGGGGCCAATCAAATTAATATTACAAAACTTGATAAAGACTACCCAAGAATGCTACAGACAAAGTTTGGTGATCATCCATCCATTAGTTCTGTAGAAGAAGATGTTTTATTGAATTTCAACCATTAATTGTCAAGTTATGCATTGGACAATTAAAAGTACCAAAAGGAAAAACTCTTAAATGAGTCAAGAAAGAGTTATGATTTCTGTGCACTGCGCTTTCTCTTAATATACTTGACCATTGTATGAAATTGTATTGAATTTCAAGCAGTACACTTCATGTTATGCTTTGCACCAAGTAAAAGTAACAAAGGACAATCACTCTATAATTACTCTGGATATAGTTATAGTTCCTGTGAACTGCACTTTCTCTTAATGTGCTTGACAATTGTGTGAAGTTGCATTAAATTCAAACCATTAATTTCAAGTTATGCACTGGACAAGAAAAAGTATCAAGGGGAATAACTCTTTGATAAGTCCAGATGGAGTTAAGGTTCTTGTGCCCTGCATTTTCTCTCAAAGAACTTGACCTTTGTATGAAGTTGTATTGAATTCAAACTAGTTGTTTTCAAGTTATGCTCTGGACAAGAAAAAAGCAATGGAAAAGTAACAAAGGGCAATAACTCTATAATTACTCTGGAAAGAGTTATGGTTTTGGTGCACTGCACTTCCACTTATTGTGCTTCCCCATTGTATGAAGTTGTTTTGATTCCAACCAGTACTTTTCAAGTCATGCTCAGGACAAGGAAAAATATCAAAGGGCAATAACTCTGTAATAAGTCAAGAGAGAGTTATGGTACTTGTGCACTGCATTTCTTTTCAATGTCCTTGACCATTGTATGAAGTTGTATTTAATTCTAACTAAAAGTTTTCAAGTTATGCTCCGACAAGGAAAAGTAACAAAGGGCAATAACTCTGTAATTAGTCAAGATGGAGTTATGGTTCTTGTGTACTGCACTTCCTCCTAATGTTTGACCATTGTATAAAGTTGTATTAAATCCCAACCATTAGTCTTCAAGTTATGCTCCGGACAAAAAAAGCAATGGAAAAGTAACAAAGGGCAATAACTCTTTAATTACTTAAGATAGAGTTATGGTTTTTGTGCACTGAACTTTCTCTTATTGTGCTTGACCATTGTATGAAGTTGTTTTGAATTCCAACCAGTAGTTTTCAAGTTATGTTCCGGACGAGGAAAAATAACAAAGGGCAATAACTCTGTAATTAGTTAAGATAAAGTTATGGTTCTTGTGCACTGCACTTCCTCTCAATATGATTGACCATTGTATAAAGTTGTATTGAATTCCAACCATTAGTCTTCAAGTTATGCTCCGGACAAGGAAAATGCAACGGACCGCTGGACCGACCGACCACCGGGTGACTCCTTTATACACCTATAGTTTCCGAATGACCTCTAATTAAGATTAATCAGCGTGGAGTTCCACAGTTAAAGGAGCGGCAAAATTTCGGTTCACGGTTCACTCGGTCATATAACAGAGCATGCTAATATTGTAGTTAGAGTTATTACTGTTACTATTTTTTCGAAACATGAAATAGTAAAACGCTATTAAGAAAACAATTATCAATTTATACATGAATATTTAAAGGACTAAAATTTGACAGAATGAACTTCTTGTTCGTCATGTTAAAGTAAATGATATTTCCGATGTTTCCTTCTACCTATTTGTACACCTCGATGTTAAAAATTCAAACCCATTTTGTCGCCTCTTACGATCACCACGTAGGGTTGCAATTCAGATGCCTCAACCAGTAAAGGCAACCCCTCAGCCACAAGGGACATTAACTCAGTCGTAAATATTTTTGGAAATGAAATGTTAAAATTTTCCCGGGTATTTGAAATAAATATACATGTATAAGTAACGTGTAATAACTTGTTAGATATGCGTAAAATGTCACAAAAGCATTCTCTAAACACGCGGTGGTGGATAATATATATTATAAGTATCATTTAATTGATTTTCCTTTCCGTGTTCTGCTTTGTGTCCTATCCTGTTTTTGTTTGGGGTCCTCCTGGACTTCTTGTCGCTGGTTCTTTTTGTCGGATCGTGTGGGGGTTGCTTTCATTGAACGCCGCCTTTCCTTGTTGATCTTGTTTATCATATTTGATATGATAGTTTAACCAAAATGATCAGGTAATCAGATATTTCATCATATGTTTAAAGTAATTTTGTCAGTATGATTTAGTATTTTGGGATTGACAGTTCCAGATTAAGATCAGAACTAACTAACTTCTTAAACCTGAATTGATCATGTAATCATGTGAAATACTCAATAGCTGTACTTAATTTACGAGAACGGAAATCAAACAAGGTAGAGCGATGCTCAAAGAACGTGGTCTATAACAAAAAAAAGTAAAAAATGACAAAAAGTGAAGCATGGATGGGTCTTGTGCATAAATCTTTTATTAAGGCGTACGGCTTTATGTTTGTTTTATAAAACGACAATACACATTGCATACATCAAAGATGTGGCGCACACCCTATTATCATGGACACTCCTGTAGCAACGTACAAAATGAATGAATAATTATTGGCTATGTTTACTCTTTGATTATAATTTGTTTGGCTGAATAGAATGTTATTTAATAAAATTTCATTAAATCAAATTCGTTAATTAAAATGACTGTTGAATGAAATAGTTTTGCAATTTACTAACTCAGGATATATTCGTATCAGCTGTGAAAATAAATATATGAGCAGATCGTACAACAATACAAACTTTGGAAAATGTTACATATAAATTGCGAAAGTCGCATTGACTGTAATAATTATTAAAATAGATCAACAAATAAAATTAAGGAAAGGCGACTTTCACAAAACGCTGCCCCCTTCATAACACCGCAACATCGGCAAATACCCAACAGGGCACCGAACCCAAACAGGAGAGGGCACAAGGGCGCCGAAAAGAGGGAAGGGATGCACGAATTACTGTTTACGCAGCACTGGAAATCACCTGATTTTAAATGGTGCTATATAAAAAATTAACTTAAGTAGCCGTGTTTTACATGATACAATTCAGGCGACATTGATTTATATAATTCAGGCGACATTGATTTATAAATTATATAAGTTCTCAAAATAGAGAAAATAAGAATCCCTAAAGAAAGCCTAACACGGCAAAATTGAAAATGTTGCAGACTCGATTTGATTGAGCCTGTTCATGGACGGTACTGTAAAGTGCAAACTACCGTCCACGCCCCCTAGCACCGGCTTAAGCAGAATTCAACATTTAACATGAACTGGTACAATTTTGTATTTTGAAACATCCGCAGATGTGATCATATGGCGGTTATCATGGAACCTTCAATGTGACACGTAAGTGCCATTTCATGAAAAGCGACATATGGTCCCCAAGTAAAATAATGCATGTGCCCTAAACGAGAAAACAATGGGCGGAACTAAATAAAATTAAATTTTGAAATGGGATCAGAGGCTGTGAAGCCTGCATATCACAGATAAGACGTCAAAAGACAATTTTAAAAAGCAGGTCATATTTCCTAAGGGTGATTCAACAGTATTCAAGTGAGGAATATTGGAACCACCCAACAAGAAAATGCTGAATAGAAAGAACTTAATTACCACAAGCTCAAAAATAATGTCGTGCTGAACGATCTTTAAGGATCGGAAATATAACATCCCTGATTGAATGTACAGGGCGACTTTTTACAGCCTCCTAATGGCACAAACAACGCTGATGTGGCGATAAAATAGAGAAAATAAGACATTATTATTTTTAGTATTTCTAATGTTGCAATTCGTTTTGTATAAAACAATAAATCAGCATTTGAACATATTCCATAAAGTTTATTTAATTAGTTAAACATTATGTATGCGACAATTATAGTTACTGTTAGACATATACATTGATTGATGCAAATTTAATATAACGTATGCCTTGTTATGTAGAATACTAATAATCAGACACCGTAATTGTTTCCTCCTCATTTGTACCTTCCCACCATAACCAGCCTTAAATGCCCTCTAAGTCCCCCCTTTGTTTACCTGTTCCTGTGCAGTGTCCCATAGGTGCAATCCGATTATGATGATATTTGTCCAGCTTATCAAGTAGTATGAGTGTGTAAAAGTTGTTTTTATTCATTCTCATGATGATATATTAAATACATGTATATCATATCATGGTTATAACTGCGATATTTTCTCGTCACCTTGACGGTGCTAGGGACGTGACGGATATTGCACTATTTCATTATCCCTCAATGTACAGACTATGTATGGACTCAATCAAACCGAGTCTACAATGTTCATGTTATTTTGTTTTGTTTAATGTTTCCAAGGGGTCACACCTTGTCCACATTTTGAAATTTCAAATTATAATAAGATAAAAAAAACAGAATTCCTAACGATGTCCAAACTGGCAAAATTGAAAATGTTGCAAGCTTGGTTTGATTGAGCATGTTCATGGACGGTAATGGTAATTGCAAGTTACTGTCCATGCCCTAGCACCGGTTTAAGAAGAATTCAACATTCTTAAAAACCCTAATATGTTTTCCGCGTTTTATGCACGGTTTCTGTTAGATGACCAACTGGGTGCCTTTTCGGATGCCCTGAATGGCTGAATGTTATATCGGAGACGTTTCGTAAACGTCACCCTTTCTTCTTGATTTTGTACAAATTATCTATTAGTCTATTCTTAAAACTGCTAGGCTTATTTTCTCTATTTCATATAACTATCAATTACAGAAATCAAGACCATGTCTAAAACACTTTTAATCAACAAAAAGAGCTGGTGAACAATTAAACAATTTAAAGTATACGCAACACATCTGTTAAGTAACTATCATAGTTTTGTACAAGGACTGCAAACTATCGTCAGATTTACGATATTTTTTCACAGGATAACTTCCGAGGGATCACTTTGTGTCCAGATTTATTTGCAAATTGTGTTTATAAAAAGAATAGGAAATTGTATTAAGAATTAATTTTTACAACTGTTTTGGCGAAAATAGTAGAAAAAAGTTTAAATATGCAACCATGTTCAGATGTGTTTGTAGTTACGGCAATATTGGCAACTATAGCACCAATCAAACTGCATGGTGTCAATCAGCAGTCGTCAAGACAATCTGAACACACTTTGAGGAATAGTTGCTTTAGCACAGCCAAATCCAAACATTGGTCTTCTTATATAATGGCCACCTGAATCTGCTCTTTCACCTGTTGTTGGATCAAATATAATGATCTCGTCAAAGATATCAGATGAATCTATTCCTCCAATTATAAAGATTTTTCCTTCGTGCTGCACAATTCCAAAACCCCAACGGTCGAAATTTTCAATGTTTCCAGCACTTTCTATTTCGCCACATCTTTCTCCAGTTCCGTTCATTTTCAAAACTTCCCCAGAAGGAAAAACTAAATATGTCGTTTTATTGCAAACCACAGCAGACGACATGCCAGATAGCGACGGGAGGTTAGTCAAATGTGTACATGTTCTGACACGTGTGTCAAAGCATTGCACAGCCGATGTAGTGACTCCATCACCGTCTAATCCCCCAAAGACATATATTTTGTCCTGCAAGACAGACGCTGAAGCTGATCTTACAGGAGAAATCAAATAGCCACAATCCTCCCAGCTTCCGCTCATTACCCCAAACTTCTCAACACTTATCAGGGTATTGTATCCTTCCTCGGCTTCATCATCATAACCACCTAAAACATACAAAGAATCTCCAACAGCTACCATGCAATGCCGCCTCCGACCAATCAACATACGTCTACATTTAAACCACCTGTTATGAAGCGCGTGAAGATAAACCATTCCATTAAGTACCTCACTTCCGCCGGAAACATACACAGCGTTCCCATATGTGCAAATGGCGAATTCCACACCAAGATCATATGGCAAAGAAGCAAGCCGTATCCATTGTAACCTCTTCATACTGTAACACAATACATCGGTTGTTGTTTTCTCCGGGTGAACGTTTCCTCCAATACATACAATCATCTCTTCATATTCAGCTTGATTACGGTGAACTAATCTTGCTGAAACAAATTCATGTCTCCTGGCAGGTAAAAGGTGAAAACGTTTTGCTTCCTCGACATATTCTCTGCATTTGTCATTTTCTTTCACCAATGTGTTAGTGTCCAACGTTTCCAGTAAATACTCAGGCTGCATTAGTGGTAGTCTTATATGCTCCATTATTTTGTCAATGTATTGTTTCCTGTTGTCTAAATCATGATTTAGCCATCTAAATACTGCCTCACAAACACTTTCTTCATTAGGTGTACGGAGGTTATTGTCTTTTATAATTGCTAGTACGTCATCATAGTCAAGATTAAGAAACTCATAAGTTTGTTGTATGTCTTGAAAGTAATACAAGACATACTTAAATGCTTTTCTACTAAGAAAACTGCACGTATGAGAAGACGCTAATTTCCAAGTAGCTATACAATTTTCTGGATCCACATTTTCAATCATGAACTCCTCACATCTTTCTTTCAAGCATTTTATCTGCAACATTGTCGCAGCTTGCAATATACTTTCCACATTTTCAGTATTGATTACATCTTCACCCGAGTATATAAATTTCAAAATGTTTTCAAATGTTTGTGGGTTTATATTCTTTAGTGTGACTTCTCCACTCTGACTTTCCTGCATTCCGCTTAGATACATTGCCTCAAAGAATGGCGACATCGCCGCTAAGATCACTTTATGACATTCAAACGTTCTTTTCCCTACAGTCACGGTCGTGTCTGTGTATTGTGAACTCTTCCATTGCTGCTCCAATCCAAGACAAAGTGTCGAAAAATAAACGTGCCTCCATCTCGTAATCTCTTCCTTCACTGTGTTATCCATGTTGCTCTTCTATACTCTGTAAAACACAGTTACGAGTCAAACAATTACAAACATATAAATAAATATAGACATTTTGGTTATACTAGTATATGTAAAATGATACTTCAGCTATCATATTTATATTAAATTATTCCATATCATTCGTACATTATTTAAAGTAAACAAATAAAAATCTTACCAGGCTGTTAACTTACAGTCCGTGTTGTAATGGCTTAAACGAATCAAGTATTCTGCGCCAATGGGTACGGAACTACGGATCGATATTTGTTTTCCGTAATATATGCAAGATATCGATACTGATTTGGTCGATGGATTTTCAATAGCGGGTGTAAATATACACATTGTATAGAGGTACTAGTCTTTTGAAAATGTGACTAAAGTACTTTCAGTGCGCAATTTCTTTGAGAACCTCTTTTTCACTGAAATTAATTGTATTTAAACATTTAAAAAGGTCGATGTGACATACTATTAAAATGTACAGCGATCAATAAGACTTTAAATCTATTTTTGCAAGGTATTATCAGAGACATAGATAACATCTTCGATCATCTCTGGTATTATATAGTGATAAAACCTGCCACATTTACTGGAGATTTGTATCTTACCTAATGCTATCTACAACACTTAAGGGAAGGTGATAATGTCATTCATAAGAACTATTTTAGTATACTCTATATTATACCAGTTCCTCCGGGCACATTTTTTACCTTTTATTTCAATTTCACTTACTTTAGTGTCCATTCCATAAACAATAACATTTCTGATTATATACCGGTATATGGTAAGTAGAAACGCTTACTTTAAATACATGAAATAATTAAAGTTGTATGTATCAAAGAGAGATTACTGTGGAAATTTCAGTTTTGCTTATATACAACTGTTCACTTTCCTAGGTGTACCGTCAAACATAAATACATATATGTAAATACTGAATGTATGTTTGTTTTCTATTTCACAAGTGTTGGAGAGAGAAAATGTTGCAATTCAAATACATATACAATACACGTCCTTACACAACAATTTTTTGTTTAAAAATGAATATGCTTAATATTAAGAAACAGTTATTTATATGTTGAATACAATGGGCCCATTTGTATTATGTCATTTAATTCCTTGATAGTGTTTGTTGTTATTTATAAAACAAATCCATAGAAAAATTACAGATGATTTCTATTTTAAGATCATTTTAACTAAGTCTGGATTAGGATTAAACATCTTAAAAGTTTTCACAAGATCAGCTGAATCTGACGTAAATACGGTAACGCGCGAAACGAATTTCCGTTCTCCACATATTGTATTGCTCGAGTTGTGACATCACAAATGTGCACACGCCTATTTAATGAGAAATAATTTGAATGTAATTAATTAAAGCAAACTTGATTGGCTACGTCTATGCAGCGAAGCAAATGGAGACCATTGCGTAGGAGTTTGTAATTAAAGAAAAAGTACGTGAGTATGCCATTCTTGTGGACTGTATTACTGGCTTTGATTGCTTGCACTCGCTCTGTTGGCTCGTGTAAACAGTAGTCTGGTTCCCGGTCGTACTTTGCTACGTAAAAGTACGATAACGATAGTGGTAAGGGGCAGGTAATCCAGACTACTGTAAACAGATCTTTGCGCAATCAGCTGAAGCACAATCTTGCATTATGCAACATTGGTAATCAAAGGCTTGTATCAAGATCTTTATCAAGATAAAGTGAGTGCAGAAGTGATAAGATTGGGGGAGGGGGTCTATTTTATACTCATTATCTAGATAATAAATGATAAAATGATTAATGTATTTACGTTTGTGGTGCGAAGTGTGAAGTCAGCATTAAAATAAGCCATGAAGTTTTCTTTTTCGGAAAATAATGAACAAAAAAGTCTTCATTAAAAAACGGCATAAATTCAGTATTTGAATAATTCATTAATTGTGATGACTTGTATATGATTTCAATGTTTTAGGAGATATATACTTCAAGCCTACTTTTATATAATATAAAAGACCAAGAAAAATTTGTATTTTTAATCATTATGCTGTATATTTTTAATTCCCCTTTTAAATGAAATATTTGCTCTTTTTTGGTATCTAAAATTGTGTAAATATTTATAAATGTCGTCCTAAAGTTACATTACTATTGTTTGTAACCAATGACAAACATCTTTAATTAGCTGAAGGTTTTATAACCTTAAATACCATTGGTTACAAATGTAGGTCAGAAACCAACTACACCTACAATGATAAATAAAAGCACAGAAGGCGCTGAACTTGTTTGAGTTTCAGAATGTCAGAAAGGTGAAAGTTGTGAGATTATAAACCAATTTGTTTTTATTTGTTTGGGTCGTCAGACCAAACAAATAATGGTAGCTAAATTTCAGAGCCTAATGCTGTTAATTGCAAATGCCTAAAGTAGTCCACTTTTTTGAAGTACACTAACGCCGAAAAATTCAGAGGAGATCAACGCGTAAAGATTGTCAAATGACAGGCGCATTAATTTTCAAGCAAAGTAGTTCCCGAATGGTCGAAGATTTCTAATATTGTTTCATTCTTTATAGATATACATATGCTTACAGTAAGCTCCTTGATTATTTACATCTTTGTTTAGCCTCGAAATAATAAGAGTTACAAACCCTAATTTAGAATAATATGGTTTTCTTCAGGTCGTTAACTTATAATTTCACCGTGGCCGAGGGGTTTGCGCGCTCGCTTTATGAATCGAGAGGTCTCGAGTTCAAATCCCAGTTGAGGCAACTCATTAAAAAAATTGTTTAAGTCAAATAAGCATTGAATTGACTATCAGGGTTGCAATTAGTCTTATAGCCAATTTACTACAGTTAAAACACTGGAAAGCATTGGTGGCACTATACAAAAACAAATTGGTTTATAATCTCACAACCTATACCTTTCTGACATTCTGAGACCCAAACAAATTCAGCGCCTTCTGTGCTTTGATTTTGTTTGTAGGTTTGTTTGTTTGTTGATTTTTTTAGTTTAAAATTTACTGAACACGGGAGATTTTTTGCTATAACAACTGTTTGAAAGTCGCAAAATAACAAATTTGTGCTGCAAAAAAAAATCAATTATAAATATTAGAAAAGTTTTATGGTATATATAACGTACTTGTTCATTTTACAACGGATTTATATTATGTAATATAAATCCGTGATTTTACATACATGTATTTTAATTTTAATAAAAAGAGTTTTAAATCATCACCAATATGTTGTCAATATAGCCTCTAGATAGTCACGAAATACCAGGATATCACTTCCTCTTCCAAAAATTTTCTCGGAGGAGCATGCCCCCGAACCCCCCTATTTTTAGGAGTACATAATTATCAAAATAGCTCAGTTACGCCCCTGCTAAGTGAACGATTTTTTATTGTTTTCTACAGTGAATTTGGAAAAAAGTTACCAGCTTAAATGCATGTCCCTCATATATTGAACAGATATTAATATTATTATCATTTTACAATTATGCACGCTTTTCGTTCAAATGCTTTGTAATTAATCACTCAGAATGCACTCAGAATTGATATAGATCTTTTTCCTAAGCATAGCGTACGTGTAGCCGATAAATGATGCAATGATCTCGATTTTATTGGAAAACTGAAAATGTGAATCAGGAATTTGAAATTCAAGGATTAGTTGAGTTTTCTAGAAAATAAAATGTTGAAAACAGGAAAGAAACATATAAAGATTTACTGTTTTATTTCCTGGAATAAATATATGTTGATATCTTTTTGGTTTACAAAATTTGTATTAAAATAAAATGTAGAGGACTGTATAACTTCTGGTAACGTATATGTTTTATCATTGTAACGTATCTGTTTAGAAAGAGTTTGAGTACTGTTTTAATATATATAACTAAATCTTCAACAAAACTTTGGTTTAAAAATTAGTAAGATATGGTTAGGCAATATATAACAGCACTGTAACGTAATGAAAAAAAAAAACAACATATTAAAGTATTTTTAAATGAATGCCCGTTAGTTTCTAAATTTTAGTGAGCGTCGTATCAAGATAGTCTGTCTATGGTAGGAATGGACTAATTTGGATATAGATCAAAATCTTGGAGGTGCATATATATGGATTGATTATAATACTATATGGTTTTCTTTAAGCGGTACCATTGTTTCTGATATAATTTTGTTAAATGTAGATAAGCATATACATGTAAGTTACTCATATCACCAAGTATGATACAATCAAGGATCAAGATTGTACCAGTATATAAAGACAATTGAACAGCAGATGAACCAAAAAGACAAACGAAATACAGAATGTCAATTCATACTATGAAACACTCACATTAATCTAGCTGTTACATATTCTAATAGATGGGTGTCTTTATTTAAATGTTCTTGTTAAAGTCACAATGTTATTTGACTATTTGAAGCTACAGTCAGAAAACAATAAAACCTATAAAAACTGGAAAAGATTTTGTGTGTTCTATTTAATATTAAAAGTACTGGTTCAGACATATTATTTATTGGTCTGTTGTTTAAAAAACTTTATGAATATCTATCTAACGTGTTAGGGTTTTCATAATTTTGTTCATAGTAGAACGGTGAAACAGATACGTTACTATGATTTAATATCCGTTTCCACAGCGGAATAAATTTATACTGTTATTAAGTAAATCCGAGCAACATTGTGTCAATAGATAAGTATGGAACATCAGTATTTTTATTGACCTAAAATGCTTTTATAAGTAAATCATGTATTTGGAATAAACAAGTCTGATTAATAAGTAACATTTTCATCAGCTTCAGTTCGACGTGGATTTTTTTTAAAATGCATATTGATGCATAATATTTTGTAATGTATACTGGTGCTATATTGTTGAAAGAATGATAATAAATTTCTAAATTGTGTATATTCATGCTAAGTATTTTTTATCTAGTCTCTGAAAGCAATTGGAACAAGAACTGTCGGAGGACAGTAACGCTCGATTATTCGAAAAGTTGTCACAAGGGTGTTTCATTGAGTATAATAATGCTTACCTATATGAATACATAAAATTGTCCGAAAAGGGGCATAATTATGCAAAAAAGCAAATCAGAGTTATGGGACTTGTGCCAATGATCTTAGATAATCACAGAAAACAAGTGTGTGAAGTTTCAATCTATTCCCGTCAGTAGTTATGGAGATACCAGCTTACACGCAAAAACTTAACCAAGAATTTTTAAGTTGAAAAAGGGACATAATTATGTAAAAAAGCAAATCAGAGTTATGGGACTTGTGCCAATCATCTTAGATAATCACAGAGAACAAGTGTGTGAAGTTTCAATCCATTCCCTTCAGTAGTTATGGAGATACAAGCTTA